AATAAATGATATAGCTATAAAATAATATTCCAAACTTCTTTTGGAGGAATTTTCTCTTCATTCCATACAAAAAATCTCCTAATTTATGGACCCAAATGGGGCAGCAAACCCCACATATTGTCACCACACTACTAATGTTTATGTCATTCCTGCGACATGTATCCATATATCCAAGTTTTTCAAAACAATAATTAATGCACCACTTCAGTTCAAATCTGAGTTTAGGTTTGTTAATATTCAATATTTAAAATTTGATCAATTCACTTACAAATAAATATTACATACATATACTATATTATTTTAGTGAATTATTGAGGCATAAGAAAAGTCCAAACGTTGACATGCATTTGCATGTTGATTTTTTAAGATTATACCTAACCTTTGGAAATTAAACTCAGTGTTAGTGGAATACCAAATTTATCCTTGGAGACTTCATTTTCTACTCTTGTTTGCTTTGATTGATGCGTAACAATATTCTAAGAATCTGTTTTATTTACAGAATAAATCATAAGATATAATAATTATATTTTATTTTATTTGTTATAAATTAATATTGTCAAGAATAAATTAAAATATGTGAAGAATATAATTTTTTGAACAAACACAAAAAATTCTATTAAATTTTACAAAAGAGAGAAGAAAGGAAAATAAAAATTGAAGTTAATTAAAATGGATTTACTATTCTATTACTCAATAAAGATTCAATAAATACAAGTAAATAAAAATAATTAACTTCTTTACAACATGGAAGAATCAATATATTTATAAATTATTAAGTTAATTTACACTATAAATTAATTTAACAATTGAGGTTACAAATAAGATCCAATTTAACATACTAACAATCTTAGCATTTCGACTATTGCATATTTGAGCATACTTCAACTACACCATGCAGAATCAGCATACAAATATATTTCGACAACATGCTAAATATTTGTCAAACTATAAAAATATCTATATTAAGATTAGAATTTGATTCAAATATCACATTATTTTAACTTGCTATTTTTTTAAATAAATTTCAATTGATATTTGATAGCACTATGATAAGATAATTATGCCGGTTGTCATATTTTAGTGTAAATTATTATTTAAGATAGATTAAGAACCAGCATAATAAAATAAGAAAATAAGTTATTTATTTATTTTTTATAAATTCAATTTAAAATATGAAAAATTAAAATTAAATATAATATAAATAAATAAATTTAATTTTAAATAAAAAATTAATAACTAATGTATAAAACTAAAATATTTAAAAATTACGAGATCAAAACACATACCGAATGAAAGAGAAGAAACATTTTAATTCTAATCAATAAGAACAAACTGGGATATACAAAATTGTTGAAATTATAGATAATTAAGTTTATAATTCATTACCATAGAGTTATGAAAAAGAGTGATTGAACAAAGATTAAGGAAAAAAAAAGACTAAGTCACTAGAAATTAATTTGGTTTTAAGATTTGTAGGTCGATTGTGAAAATGATATATCTACTACAACGTGTGATGGAAGAGTATTTGATTGACCAACAAGATATGCACTTAATTTTTATTGATTTGGAGAAGGCGTGTGATAAAGTGCCTAAAGAGATTTCTTGGAAAACCTTAAAGAAGAACACATCTAAGAGCTAACAGCGAGATACATATTGCATATGATATAATCCTACATGGAGAGTCAAAAGAGAATTTAATTGAGAGGTTGAAGACTTTGAGACGAGCTTTAAAATGCACGGTTTTCGCCTAAGTAAAAGTTAGACGGAGTATATAAAATGTAATTTCAACAAAAGAAGAAATGTTTCTAACATAGAGGTGAAAGTTGGAGGCAATATCATCCCTAAAGTCACACAATTTAAACATCTTTAGTCTGTAATACAGAATAATGGAGAAATAGAAGAGGATGTAAACTATTGAATTCAAGTTAGGTGACTGAAATGGAGAAGGACTTCGGGTGTTTTATGTGACATAAATATATCACTAAAGCTGAAGGAAAAAATTTACAAGATTGCGGTGAGACCTATGATGTTGTACGAAACCGAATGTTGAGCGGTTAAGAATCAACACGAGATTAAAGTAAGCATATCAAAGATAGGGAAGTTGCGTTGGAAGTATGGTAAAAGTATACGTGATAAGATTATAAATTAAAATATCAGAGAGAACCGTTAGGTAGCACATATAAAGTCTGTTTGGTGTGTAGAATAAGAGACAGAATAAGATATATGTATCATACCTTATCTCAATCCAATGTTTGATGACAAAATATGATATAATAGTTAATCTTAAAACTTATTATATGTTGCCTCACTAGTTTAAATTTTACTTTGAATATGAGTTAGGTTAGAATTCACCATGCTAGGATAAAAAAAAAACAAATTTACTCTATAAAATATAATTTAAAATAAAAAATTAAATACGATAAAATATATAAAAAAAATATTAATTTGATATTCAATTAAAAAATATTAATAAATAATTTCTAAAAAATATGTATGATTTTGTCATAAGAGTAATTTATAACTTTATATAATATAAAAATTAAAATTTAATAAATTGGAAATATTAAAAATAGAATAGTTAGTTTAATTTTAAAAATATGAGTACTAATTTAATTTTTTTTATCAAATTAAATATATTTTTTTGTAAGAGTAGTTTTTCATTAACATATTGTATATACATACTTTTATTTTGCTAATTTGATATATATATGATAGAGTTCATGATTTTTTCAAAAAAAAACCTGAAATTATTTATTCAGTAGTGTCAATGAGTTTTTTTTTTAATTATATAAAATCATTAATTTTTTTAATCAATTTATAAATTTTAAAACATTTTATAAAATAACTTAAAATAAATACAATTGTTATATATATATATATATATATATATATATATATATATATATATATATATATATATATATATATATATATATATATATATATATATATATATATATATATATATATATATATATATATATATATATATATATATATATATATATTATGCGGTGTGAATCAAATACATAATAGAATAAGTCTTAACTTATCCAAATCATATTTTATTTTTATTCTACTTTATATTCTATTATGTCTCTATTATTAAATGAGCCATAATACAAAAGATAGTAAAAAATATAATTAAGTGATTTGAATATGTAGAGAAAAGACTTCTAAATTTTGTGGTAAGAGTGAATCAGATGAAAAAATTTTATAGAAAAAGAAAGAAATGCCTGAAAAAAATATAAAAAGTGTTATTAAAAAAGATATCAATATTAAAGACTTGAATAGAAGAATGATCTTAGATACAATATCTTTTTAATGGGATACAACTTTGTTGTTGTTGTTATAAAATATTAAAAAATAAATCTATATTAAAAATGTAAATAAATTACTTTAAAAGTTTTATAAATTAAATATAATTTTTCAGTTTGTCTATATATCATTTCTTTATATACATATATATTATATAATATAATTATCCTATCATATCATGTGTGTATTAAAAAATACAATGTTATAATACTTCTTTTATATGTACTAGAATACTATTTATCGTATCATATTTTTCTCGAACAATTTATTCAACTTTTTATAACCGTATATTTTATCATGCGCATCAAATCAAACGGTTGTGGAGAATGAAAACAAAAAAAGCAAACTCTATCAAGAAAAAACCGCTACATTTGGGAACTTCAACGACCCTATGAACTTTCAAACTAGTATTAAATTTGCTTCATGATTTTGGTCTAGAACACTAAAAGCAAGAATAAGAGAAGAGACAAAAGGTAAACTTGCTCCTTAAGAATCCACACTTCTTGCTCTTTATTTTTTATTCCCATCAATCATATTTGTCTATTGATTTGATGATCAGTGGAATATACACTTTTCTTTCCCTACGTTTTGGTTTGTTGGGCTTGTTTGTTTTTATCTAATTATTAATTCATTGATGTATATATAGTTGGTTGGAATATTCTACTCTCTTGTTCTTGTTGAAATTGTAAAGCTTAGTATATAATAATAGAATTGATTTGATTATTTGAGGATGTTTAATTAATGCAGAAGAATGGAGGATCAATCTTTTGGAAGGTACCAAAAACCAAAAGGGTCTAAAATAAAACAGGTATTGAAGTTTATGATAGTTTTGGTGTTTTCTGTTTGGTTGCTGTATCAGATCAAGCAGACAGAAACAAAGAATTATGGCGGTCAAACCAAGCTTGTTGCTGGATGTGGTGGAATAAAATTGTTGGGACGAAAAGGGATAGTGACGCGATTGTATGAAAGATCTCTTCCTGAGTCAAAGGTTGATTCTGTTGGAGAAGTTAGTGGAATGGATCATGTATCTGATGGAGCTGAGGAAATAGATGAAATCCAAAGCTATCATGATGAAAATGGTGTTCCACCCTACAGTAATGAAGAAACCGATATTAAAGAGGAGGGAAACGAGATGCATAAAAACGTGGTGGCGAGTGCTGCAAATGCTGGTGTAATAATGGAGGAAATAGACGAGGTTCAAAGCTTTCATGATGAAAATGGTGTTCCGCCCGACAGTAATGAAGAAAACATTTCAACTTTTAGCAAAGTAAATTGGCTTAAAAAGATCAATGCTTCTGATATCCCAAATGGAGAAGATAATGATGTCGAAATGAACTTGGAAGGATCGATGAATGCCACACAAGACAGCAAATAAATAAACATGGAAACTACTACTTATGTTGATACTCCAGAATTGCAATCAAGAAATAGGTGGAGATAGCTTAGTTTCAAGAGATTGTAAATATGTTTATCATTACAAACAAAAGGTTATAGATGACAGATATCACTAAAAAAAAAACTGTAAGAAGGTGAAATCCTAGGATTAGAGGATGTGTTTTTTTCTATAATATATGATGTAATTCTCCACAGGGAATTTAAAGGTTCTGTTTTTGATACATGCATAAACTACAAATACAGTTGATTGTAAAATTCTCAATGCTAAAATAACTATGGTTGAATCTTCAATCTGAATTTGTTGTGATGCTATAAGCAGGAACCTTGGCAAGACTTTCTTCTTTCAGGAATGATCTTATTCTCTCCACTTCCTTCCATAAGCCTTCATTGGCATAAATATTTGACAGAACGACATAAACGCCTTCATTCGACGGTTCCAATGCTTGCAAATGCTCAGCTACCCACTCTGCCATATCCACATTCCCATATTTCTCACAAGCACCCATCAAACACCCCCATACTACTGAATTCGGCTTCATAGGCATCTCCTCCACCATTCTCCTCGCATCGTTGAACAATCCCGCCCGACCTAGCAAATCCACCATACATCCAAAATGTTGCAGTTTGGGTGTTATGCCATAAACATTCTTCATCATATCAAAGTAAAATCTTCCTTCTTGAACCGTCCCTCCATGCACACAAGCACTGAGCACTCCAATAAAAGTCACATAATTAGGCTTCACACCTGACTCCCTCATACACTGAAAGCAATCAAGCGCTTCCTTCACATGTCCATGCATCGCATAACCCACAATCATCGATGTCCACGACGACACATTCCGGCTCTCCATCTCTGCAAAAACTCTATAAGCCAAGTCCATCCGCCCACACAAGTCCATCCGCCCGCACTTTCCATACATATCAATCGGTGAATTCAACATTAAAATATCAGTCTTCTCACTAGCTTTAGCTTGAAAAACAAATTTATGCAATTGCATTGCCAAGTACAAATCGCCAACGCTTCCACAAGCCGATGTAACACTAACCATGGTAATTCCATCCGGTTCAAATCCACGCCTCCTCATACTAAGAAACACATGTATAGCATCCATGGCAAGTCCACCTTGGGATAACCCACCAATTACAGCATTCCAAGAACCAAGCTTTGGGTCGGGATTTTCATCAAACACCTTACAAGCACTATCAAAATCACCACCTTTACAATACAAATTGATAAACCCAGTTTCACAATACTCATTGGATTGAAGCCCAAGCTTTATACCAGTCGAATGAACCTGTTTACCAAGCTCAATTGCAAAAGATTGACACACTGCCTTAAGAACAATCGGAAGAGTATACCGGTCGGGGAAAACCCCGGCCCGCGACATCGAAACATAGATACGAAGCGCGTTTTGAGGCGAATCTAGCCTAGTGTAAGACCTGATGACGTTGTTCCAATTGAAAGAAGCGGGGTTGGATTCCAAAAAGCACGGTAGGAGAATGTGGGCGTATATTTGGTTCAATGGTTGTATATGAGTAGTTTTAGATAAGAGTGTGGCTATAAATGTAACTGGGTCGTTACCGTTAGTAATAGATGGTTAGGTGGCGGTGGCAGTGGGGGTGGCGTATGATGGAAGACATATGCCTGGCATTGGAGGAGTTGGTTCAGACAGTGGATGGTGTTACTCTAACCATTTTCTCAATCGCTTTCTATGTCTGACTCATCGCGTCTTGAAGTTTTTCGAGCTGTTCTGGCGCCAATCATTATATTTGCCAATTCTTGAATTGAACATGAAGTACTCTGCCTCATCTTATTAGCAAGAATTTCAATGTTATCCAAAAGCCCTAAGCCCAAAAGCCGATTCCTTAGCATTTCGATGGTAGTAACATAAGGTGGTATTCCTTCATCAACCATCATCTCAAAGTACTTACATGCCTCCTCTAGCTTTCCCTTCTTCTTACAAAGACCATGAATCATGACAGAGTATGTCGAGACAGAAGGATAAAATTTCTTGTCCCCCATCGTTTCCCAAACTTCAGTTGCCTTGTCAAACCTTCCTATCCTAATCAGTAATTTCAGCACCATGTTATACGTATGGCGGTCAGGAAGACAATTATCTTTTTCCATTCTAGATATCAACTTTAGAGCTCTATTGACTTCACAATTATCACAATGGTAAGCTTGTATTGCATTATAACTCCAAGTGTCGGGTTTTATTCCACTATAAATCATTTCATCCAACAACTGATAAGCTTCTTCCAACTTCTTATTCTTACAAAGCCGCTTTATAAGACAGTTGTATGTAAACACATTGGGAAAAAGGTTACATCTTCTCATTTTGTCAAGAACCCCAAAAGCTGAATGCACATTATCTGCATCACAGTACGAGCGAATGAATATTGAATAAGTAAACGCATCTGGCTCAACATTCTTCGACAACACATTGTTAAAAAAATCCATAGCTTCATCCACACGGCCTCCTTTGCAAAGAGCATCTAACATATTATTATAAGCCAGCAAATCAACATCACATCCTTGCTCAAGCATTGCTTCAAAAAGCTCGCGGGCCTTCCCCGAATCACCAATCTTACCCCATCCAGAAATCAGAATGCTGTAAGTTTTAGCAGTTAACGAGAAACGGCTCTTATTCTGATCAAAAAATTGTTGAGCCTGCTTGACATGTCTCTTCTTGCATAAAGTGAACAAAAGCAAATCAAAATCAATAATACTAGGCTTGATTCCAAATTCGTCCATTCGAACAAAAGACCGAATAGCACCGTCAGGCAAATCAGCTCGGCTATATGCAGTGAAAATGATCCAGAAAATTTCGTTACTGATTTTACAACTAGAAGACTCAGACTCCCTCATTTCTAAAAGAAAATCCCAAAGTATAGCAAATTGTTTAGACCTTCCTAAGATTTCTACCAAAATATGGAAGCTTTCGACACTGTGTTCAAAACCCGGAATTGATTTAGCCCAAAGAAAGAATCTGTGGGCTGAAAAGCCAAGGTGGTTGCACCTTTTCAAAACCTGTTCCACTAAATCAGTGGAAACTTGTGATGAAAATGGAGTGAGAGAGAGTTGTAGATCATGGTGAGGGTGACGGTGATCACTGACAATACGAGATATCTCATTGACAAGTTCAGGTAGTATTGTTGGGGTAGAAACTTGTGGGGTTGATAAAGATTGAAGGAACTTGTTTTGAACAAGAGGGAAAATGTAAGAGGCTAAGATTTTATGCTTAGAGAAGAGTGATTGAAAAGCCATTTCGGAGATTACCGATTACAGCACTCGGAAGGATTCGTTCAGTACTTTGTTCAAACACCTTCAGTGCAATATTAGTCGTAGCTGAAAAGCCATTTCGGAGATTACCGATTACAGCACTCGGAAGGATTCGTTCAGTACTTTGTTCAAACACCTTCAGTGCAATATTAGTCCTGATGTTGGTTAAAAATGAAGAGGGTTTTCGTTTGGGTTGGAAGAAAGGGATGAAGGAGTTTGATGGTGTGGTTGAAGGTTTTGTTGTTCCATGTGAGCTTCTGGTTATGGTAAAGTGAGGATGATCAAGGATTTTTGAAAGGTGGTTTAATGGCAAAATCTACGAAAATCCATGTGAGCTTTTGGATTCGGGTTGTCTTTGTGAAGGGGATGATGAATACCCTACGAAAATGACTCGTGGCATGATTAATGACTTTGTTAAATCCTAATTAAAGATTAAATGGTGATGGTTAAATAAAATTGACTAAAAATTAACTAATAATAAATATAGTTAAAAAAATGTTGAATATTAAAATCTTAATAAAGCAAATTAATAATAATAATTAACAATAAAATTTATTTAATAAATAAAATAAACTAACAATTAGTCTGACTATAAATTAAGTTAAATTCTATTAACATTAATTCTAAGTCTAATTAATATTTATTTATATAAACCTAGATAATTCTAACTACTATCAAAACAATAACTTAAAAAAAACTAAACTAAATAAACAAATAAAAGAAAATAATAAATCTAATAACAATTAAAATTTAAAAATAAAACTATTAAAAAAAATTTAAATAACTCTAATTAAAAAAAAATATTTTTTTAAAAAATTTTTAAAAAACTATTTTTCTAATATTCTAAAATGATTCTAATAACAAATTAATTCTATGTTATAAAAAAATTTATTTCTATTCTAATTGACTTCTAAACTAATTTTTTTTTAAAATTAAAAATTCTATCAAATTTCTTAAAAATTCTAATTAAATATTCTATTTCTAAATTTAAAGTCTATTTTCTAAAATATAATTTTAAATTTAAAAATTTAATTTCTATTTTTATGCTAATTCTAAATTAAAAACCCTATCTAATTCTAATAAAAACTCAAAATTCTAAACTAATTCTATTCCATAAAAATTCTAATTAATTTTAAACTAAATCCTAATAACAATTCTAAAATTACTAACTTAAATTTAAAATCCTAAAATATCTCTAAAATTACTAACTTAATTCTAAAATCCTAAAATATCACTAACATTACTAACTTAAATTTAAAATTCTAAAATATCTCTATAATTATTAACTTAAATTTTAAAATCCTAAAATTTCTCTAACATTAAATCAAATCTAATTAATTCTAAAATCCTAATTTTATTTTTTAGTTCTATTCTATTTAATTCTAAATAACAAAAAGGGAATTAAATAATTTTTAAACAAATAAATCTATTCCTAATTTAAATTCTATTTTAATAAAAAATCTATTTAATTCTAATACTAAAATAATTCTAAAAACAAATAAATTCTATGCTATAAAAATAATCTATTTCTATTCTAAATAAGAAAAAAATTATTTCTATCTAAAAACTAATTCTATAAATCTATAACTTAATAAAGAAACTAATTTAAAAAGTTAATAAATAAATAAACTACTTCTAACCTATAGAAAAAATAAAAACTATATTCTAAAAAAAGACTATTTCTAAAGAATATACTAAACAAAAAAATAATAAATCTATTAAAACTCTAAAATAACTTTGATATCAAAAAACTATTTAAATATCTAGTAAAAATTAAATCTATAAAAAAAATTCTATTTAAAATGAAAATTTAAATTCTATGCTAAAAATAAATAACTATTTTAATTTAAGCAAATTCTATTCTAAATAAAATATAATAAAAAACCTATTCTAAAATTATAATAAAAAACAATATTCTACACCTAATTAAATTAGATAAATGCTAAAACAAAATTATATACATGAAATTAATATTTACAAAAATGCCCTTTTGCCACGTGTCACACTCCTATTGGGCAAAATAGTTGAGATTTGAAAAACGCCCAATCGGGGGCGGACACGTGCCTAAACGGCATGAAATTAAGTGAAAAAAAAGGAAGAGAAAAACAAAAATAATTACAAAAGGAAGATGGCCCAACAGAATCTAAAAAAGAGATCCACTATTACGAAACCAAAATAGTTTTCACCTAAGCTCTTAATTCTAGATGGCCCAAATAAGTCCATATGGAGAAGATCGAGAGATCTCGTAGTTGAAACAATATTTTTGGATTTAAAAGAGATCCTCGTTTGTTTTCCATTTGGCAAGCATAAGGTGATCCTTGGTAAACTTTATTTTTGGGAGACCCTAGGACTAGATCTTTTGAGACTATTTTATTTAGCAAGTAAAAGTTAACATGTGCTAAGCCCCTATGCCATAACCATGAATCTTCACTCATTATTATGAGACATTTGTCACTGGTTAACGATACTTCATTCAAGTCTAGCATATATACATTATTCACTCTTAGGCCATTAAACCTACTCTTCTTGTCATCATTATGCACAATACATTGTTCACGCAGAAGTAAAAATAAATTAGGGTTGGTTTGAGTGATCAATTACTGACCTTTGTTCTTAGCTCCATACATTGTCGTCGTTTGCTATATTTATGTCTGTGTAGTTAGTTTCATCTTCTCAACTATCAACTATGTTCTCTCTTCCATGTTACAATAGTACTCCGCCGAAGCGCTGCCGCCACAATCCACTACTATGCCCGTAGCACCGCCGCAACAATGTTTATGTTATTGGGTCATCTTCATATTCAATCTACTAGTTTTCAATTATTTTGGCAAAAAAATCCCAATTTTTTTGCAAAATGAACAAATAAAAAATTCTTTGATCTTTTTTTAAAACTCATTTTCAATAGGGGAGTTTTTTACGCAACTGTCACATTTTGAAATAGTCTAAAAAAAATTGCAAAAATACCACATTCAAAGGACGACCCATTGAAGCCCAGAAAATGTAGTTGGGGTTCGGCCATCCAATGGCCGACCCTATGCTAAGTGTTTTTTTTTTTTTTTTTTTTTAAAGTAAATATATAATATATATTATTATTTTATATTTTAA